TTTTTTTTTTTTTTTTTTTTTGCGGAACTGGGGATTGAACTCAGGCCCTTGCACTTGCCAGACAAGTGCTTATTCTACTGAGCCAAATCCGTGGTGCAAAAGACCCGCATTTTGACAGACTCTGTTGTGCTGCAGGAGTGGACACAGAGGGACCACTTAGGAGGCCACCATCATCACAGGTTGTAAGTTCAATTCTCAGTAGGAAAAAAAAAAATTGAGCTGGTGGTGGCTTGGAATGAGGAAGAAGGGGTGTCAGGAGGACTTCCTGCTCTCTTGGCCCCCCAAACACATGCCCAGGCCAAAATCCACCTAAAACCCATTCGGGTTGGATGTCCACACCCCCACATAGCTCGGAGACCACAGGAATCTTCCAGGAAGGATGGCTACGATGTCAGGTGAGGAAGACACGGGTCCCAGAGCTCTGACTCCATGCTCCCTGCCCCACTGGTGCCTGGAAGACCCTAGTGTCAGGGAAGCAGAGAGCTGTTGCTGTCACCTGAGCTGGGGGCCTCCTCGGGCTTCTTGTCCTGTGGCTTCTGAACTGCCCGCTGCAGCTCGTTCTTGAGGTCGATGGTGCCCTGCCACACGCCCTTTATCAGCTCATAATCCAGCTCCACCTTGGGGATGTACACGGGCTTTGTGCAGATCCCTTGCAGTTTTGACGCTTTCTGGAACAAGCAGGAGGTTAAGGCAGGTGACTCTGGAGAGCCACAGCATGGTTCCGTCCTCTCCAATTCATGCAGCTCCTGGCGCCCATGGATGCCAAGAGCAAGGAGACAGTTCAGGCTTCAGGCCTTAAGTCTCCAGAAGCGTAATGCATCCTTGAAACAACTCTACCAACAAGTGGCACAGAAGCAGCTGGGACACAGGGCCCCTCGCTAGCCTATAGTGGGGACAAGGGAAGCACAGGAACACAGGGCCCCTGGTTGCCTCCCTAGAGGAGCAGCCCTAATCCCAGGGACAGGGCCTGGGCATGTCCCACAAGACAGGAGGGTCCCATTGAAGTCCCAGCTTTGAGCCTACCTGGGGTCTAGCCCTGTGCAAGAGACCCACACTCACTCCCTTCTCAGCCGGCTCAGCCCGGACATGGGCAGCAGCGTGCAGAGAGGGGAAAGGGTTCCACCCATCCTGCACTCCCAGAGCAAGGAAGCTGGGGTTCTGGAGGTGGTGGCAGCCCCCACATGCCAGGCTCCGCATGGGACAATCAAGGAGGAAGGAGCAGGGAGCCACGGATGGGCTTTGGGTCAGGACACAAAAGCTGGCACACCAGCAGTGTCATCAACTGCCACAGCTATGGCAATGTGACATCCTCTTGAATAACAAGTGGCACAATAATGGGAGCCTAGGCAGACAGGACCTGGCCCTGGAAACAGACAGGATCCACCGGACAGTGGAGGGTAGGGTCCCTGCCACCTCAGCCCACTGACCCGGAAGTGATGAGGGCCCTGCTGCGGTTAGGGCATGAGGCACAGTGGGGCCTGAGGGTGCTGGCAAGAAAGGAGGCTGCAGGCAAAGGCGAGGCCTGGGCACCAGGGACCTCACGAGTAGGAGGCCAGGAAGAGCAGAGCTCAGATGCTTTGGAAGGGCTCTTCTGAGGCAGGTGGAGGAAGCTCAGGGGAGGAGCGGAGGCCTGTGGTAGGTGACAGGCTAGGATAGCCCACATTTCTGTCCCTCCCCTGTACACATCCTGCATGATCCCTCCCTCCTCCTCAGGACGTGGGGTAGCAGTGGGGTAAGGCAGCACCCCCATAATTAGCTTATATCATATGTACGGCAAAGGGGAAGGAGCACTGTGGATATAACCAAGAGTCTACAGCAGCTGACTTTGAGGGAGCCAACAGGGTGATTTTCCTGAAGGAGCCAGACTTAAATCAAGTAAAAATCCTTCCAAAGAGAGATGGAAACACATTCTCTCCTGGGCTTGACAAAATTAGCTGCAAGGTCGACAGAAGACCTCAACTGACAGCCAGCTAGAAAGTGGGAACCTGGATCCTACAACCCAGGGGGCTGAATTCCGCCAAAAATCCAGGTGAGCTTGGAGGCCAGGCATGAGCTCTAGGACCAGTGCAGTCCGCCAACCCCCAGGCCGAAGCCTCGTGAGACCCCAGGCACATAGCCCAAGGAGCTGGCAAACAACAAACATAATGTCCTTCAAATCCAGGACCAGCTATTGCACAGCATAGAAAACTAATACAGTATGCACCTTGCTATGGAGTCTAGGCTGGCCTTGAACTCACTATGTAGCCCAGACTGGCTTTGAACTTGCAGCCATCCTCCTGCTACAGATTCCCAAGTGCTGGGATTACGGGCAAGCACCACCATGTCCAGCTCATCAGGGACGCTTCTAGTGACCTCCCCTAGCCCTGACTCTGGGAGGACCGAAGGACACCCAGCAGCTCTCTCCTCCTCACTCACCTCCAGAAATTCAAACTCATCCGCCTTGGCCAGGTTGCGCTCGAGCTCATCCTTCAGGGTCTGGATCTCATTCCTCTTCTTGAGCAGGATCTGGTAAATGCTGTCGAACTTGCTGCTGACCCTCCTTTCTTCCTCCATTATCTTGCGTGTAGCGCTGACCTCAGAGGAGTCAACGAGCGCCTTCATTTCCTTGTATTCCTGTTTCAGCAGCTCAATCTTCTGGCCTGCAGCATCCTAAGGGCCAAGGCAAGTGGGCTCCCGTCAGCCTGGGCAGAGGCGAAGGCGCCTCAGTGTCCAGGACAAGACCTGCACCTAACTTCAGGGGGAGCAGGGACCATGCAGCCACTTTGGCCACGCATTTGCAGCACCTAGTGAACAAATGTGGAGATGCCCTGACCCCTCCCAGTACCCCAACCTTGGAATATGCTCCCCAAATCTCACAGACCACCTCAGAGACACACCTGGAATATTCGTAAGCAGCACTGAGCTGTTTTGGTTTTGGTTTCTGAGACAGGGTCTCACTTTCTGGCTCAGGCTGGCCTTGAACTCACAATGGAGCCCTGCAGACCGCCTCACTCTGCAGCTCTGCCTAGATACAAAATGTCACGACTGTGTTTCCCAAATCCCTCTGCAGCTAGGCACTGGGATGTGACTAAGCGAATTCCAGGGTTGAGGCGCAGCCAGGAGTGAGATAAGCAATGCTGTCACTCGTGCAAAAGGAAGCTGAGGGTCAGGAGGGGTGCACGCCTATACTCCCAGCCCGCTGGGAGGCTGAGGCGGGAAGATCCAGAGTTCTAGACCAGCCTGGGCAACTCAACAACTGAGTGAAAACCTGTATCAAAATAAAAATTTAAAAGGGCTGGGGATATAGCTCAGTGAGAAGGCCCTACGTTCAATCTCCCATACCACAAGGAAATAGAAGAGAAGGAGAAAGAGAAAAGAAAGGAAAGAAGGAAGAAAAGGAAGAAAGAGAAAGAAAGAAAGAAAAGAAAAGAAAAGAAAAGAAAAGAAAAAAAAGAAAAGAAACCACTCCTAGATGCCCCTATTGCATATCCCAAACCCTATAGGGCAAGCAGTCGCTAAGCTGGGCAGCTCAGTGTGTTGTTCAGGTCACTAATGCCTGGATGTTAACAGATTTTCAGAGCAAGTATATGCTAGTTGGCCACAGGCCACCTTTGTCTAGCTAAGCCCCTCCTATTGGCCTGGGCGACAGGATTGGAAATGACATATGTCCTTTGCATAGATAGATGTAGCCCTAGTGAGTATAAACTTCTGCTTCCTATTTTTCGCCTACCTCATATTATAACCACTTTTTTTTTTTTTTTTTTTTTTTTTGGTGGAACTGGGGATTGAACTCAGGGCCTTGCGCTTGCAGGGAAGCGCTTAGTCCACTGAGCCATCTCCCCGGCCCCTATCACCACTTTCTATATCACTGTTTGGGGTCACTTTTTTGAGTCAGGGTCTTGCTGTGTAGCCCAGGCTGGCTCGGAAGGCCTGGCCATCTTCCCGCGTCAGCTTCCCAAGGGCACCACCGTGCCCAGCGAGGCAGGGTGTCTCGGCGGCTTTCCATTTGGGTTTGCAGTGCATCCTCCTTGGGCACACAGCCTTCCGCACACTTTGGCAGGATACAGTTCTGATGCCTGTGAGCAGGCTCTGCTTCCTCAGCTCTGGGCCTTGTCTCTCTGGCTGGGAGGCCGAGGAGGTGGGGGCGGGGCGGGACACTCACCTGTGCGTTCTGCTTCCGGGCCCGCACTTCCTCCAGCGCATGCGTTGCCCCATTGAGTTGCCCGTACATGAAGCCGACCTTCTGTCTCAGCTTGCCCTGTGGAGGAGGCAAACAGGGGTAAGAGGCCCTACTGGGCTGGCCTGGCTCCCACCCAGACTACCCCCAAATCTCTCTTTGAGGCTAAGTGAACAGCTCAAACATCAGTGCCCTGGACCACAATAAATGCTGGCTTCTGTGACAGTGACCCTGCTCACCACCGTTCCTGTGACAGCTGCTTAGATCAAGGCACAGAGGACAGGGAGGTGGCCAGCTACACAGTGACAGCCGCTTCTGTGGTGGCATATTCAACCACGGGGACAACCTTCCCAGCGCACAGCAGAAAATCAGCCAGAATCTCCCCCAAAAAAGACACAGGAGAAGGGGACCCACTCAGAGAGACAGGCCTGATCTGGTATGTTTCTCTAGAGGGCGTGGCAATCCAGAAGGAAGTCGGGATATCCTTTATCAGCAGCCTCAGCACAGCACGGAGCAGAAATCAGAGCCCCAGACTCAGCCGGCCACCCCAGGCTGGGCCAACAAGCAAGGAGTAGGATGAGCCAGGCCATGGGGGTGAACCCACAGAATCAGCCCAGGCCCTGAGGTCAGCTAGCTCGGCCTGACCAAGGGAAGTGAGGCAGGATGCCGATACCACCCTCCTATTCAGCCAGGCAGGATAATCCCAGCACTCTGGGAGGCTGGAGCAGGAAGGAAGTTCCAGCAACCTAGCAATTTAGTGACACCCTGTCTCAACATTTTAAACTAATAATAAAGGGTTTGGGGTGGTTGCTGAGTGGGAAGGTCCTGGATTCAACCCCCAGTAACACACACACACACACACACACACACACACACACAATCACATCAGTACCTTAAGTTTCCACATCCATGCTTTGAGGAAATGCCAGGGTACAGAAATGAGAAGGGTAGCTAGCAGTTAGCATGTACTTGCTGTGTACGGGGTATGAGTCTAGTACCCTACATATATTAATTCATTTAAAGCAACCTAAAAACAATACTACAGGGTAGGATTGCTTTACACAGAAAAGAATGCTGTCATACAATAAGGTGACTTGTGCAAGGCCGCGGTGCTGTTAACTGGCGCAGCCAAGGTCCTACTATTGAAATCCTGTAATCCCATCACTCAGGAGGCTGAGGCAGGAGGATTGCCAGGAGTCAAGGCCAGTCTGGGATACATAGTGAGTTCAAGGCCAACCTATAGCGAGACTGTCTCAAAAAATAAAATTATAGACATATGACCAAACTGAGTGTGCTGGAAATTTCTAGGGAAACAAAGGGGAAAAATGACATTTCCTTTCTGTAAGTACCCAGCTCAACATCTCTTCTGCTTTCCCACTCTTATCAGGGCTGACCCTGACCTTGAATCTAGAGTCCAAGAAGTGACAGTCATGCATCAGGGCTGGAAGCTGAATCCAAGGCCCCAGGTCCTTGCCCTGGAAAGCCCAAGTCACTATGATTCAGACTGGACCCCTGCAACACTGCCCCTCCCCATGGCTCCACACTGACCCAGCCAAAGGCCAGGCCCAGGCAGCCATGGCCACGGAGAGGAGACCTAGGACACCCAGCGGCTGCAAGCAGTTTCACTTAAACAACGCTTTGCACACTGCAGCAAGCCCTGTCTTTTTAAAGTTTATCTATCATTAATCAAACAAACTGGGGACTTTGGCTACTGCAACGATCGCTTAGTCAAGGGTAAAGAACTTTTATTTTTGGTGGTGATGGGACTGGGGTTGAACCCACGGCCTAGGCACTAAGCTACATCCCCAGCCCTCTTCTTATTTTTTATTTTGAGACAGAGCCTTGCCAAGTTGCCTCCCCCCCAGCCCTCTTCTTATTTTTTATTTTGAGACAGAGCCTTGCCAAGTTGCCTCCCCAGGACTTGAAAATGTGATCCTCATGCCTCAGCCTCCCAAATTGCTGCAATGACAGGTGTGCGCCACTGCGCCCAGCAAGAACTTTTGAAGATCCGAGGATCATGTTGCAGAGGCCAAGGACAGAGCCGGGCTGAAGGTGCTGCGCAGTTGGGCTGGTGCTGGAACTGCAGTACCCCAGGGAACCCTGTTTAGGGGATTAAATCCCACACACGGCAACATGCAGAGCTGCTACAAAGGAGCAGTGGCACTGCCAGCCTGTACAGGCCTCTCTGCCCCACCCCATGGATAAGAACCTCCCTAATTGTCTCTGCTCGAGCCCCACTGCCCAGGAGCTCAAGGTCTGCAGCAAAGGCCATCCGGCGTCCAGAGCAGGGAGTATACCGCGCCTCCACCACACGCCTGTCTCCCTGTCCTCAGGCCTGAGCAAGGGAAACCATAGGACCACCTGTGGGGCGTTCCCGGTGAGCTGCCTCCCCATCCCTCCATGCCATAACCCCAGCCCTTTCTAATTTTTTATTTTGAGACAGAATCTAAGTCACTCAATTGCTCTAGTTACGCTTGAACTTGCAATCCTCCAGTCTCAGTCTCCCAAAGGGCTGAAACTACAGGAATGTCCCCACGTGCCCAGCGTGTCCCCTTTTTACCACTTCCCAGATTGGGAGTCAAACCAAGATTCAGGCCCCCTCTGGCTGAAGCCCCTGTAAGGGCCTGGCCCCTGCCCTTGAAGGGCTGGCTACCCCAGCCCCGCTAATCTCCCCCTGGGGGCGGGGCTCAAAATAAGGAAGTGTAGGCTGAGATGGTATGGACACAGCCGAAAGCCTCGCTCTGTGGGGTGAAGCAGGGCTGCAGGTCCCAAGGTTGGGCATGTTCTCTCCTGGAGCAGGCAGCAAACACAGAATGTTTAAAATTAAAAAAAAAAAATACAGTAAAAGACATATTGCTACGAGTCCCCCCAAAACACACCCCTTCACTTACATCTGTCCCCTCATTCTTGCCACTTTTAAAAATCATGTTGTTTGTGTTTGTCTGTTTTGAGACAGGATCTCTCTATGTTACTCAGGCTGGCCTTGATCTCACTCTGCAGCCCAGGCTGGTCTCAAACTCACAACGATCCTCCTGCCTCAGCCTCCAGAGTGCTGGGAGAACAGGCATGCGCCGCCGTGCCCTGCTCTCCACACTTTCTCAAGCAGTTCGGGAGGCCTCTTTTGTGTCCTGATTCCATTCAGAACACTTACGTTTCACGGTTCTTTTGAATTTGGGGAAGAGCCGGAAGTCACACAGTGCTAAACCGAGCAAAAGAGCTGGGTAGTGTGTCCTGGCCTGTAGTGTGTCCTGTCGTGTTTTGCCGCTCTGCCTTTCTGTCTGATGGCATTCGGCAGCAGCATTCACTGTAGTCTGATCACACCTCACAAAGATGCTTGTAAAAAGAGGACTTCGGAACTTTCTCAGAAAGTGGCAAGAGCGAGAGGATACGTGTGTCTGAAGGTGGGGGATCAGCAGCAGTGAGGACCAACAGCAATGTGTCGTCTGACGTAATAAAAATTTTAGTGGGCCTGGGACATAGCTCAGTGGCTTAAGCCCCTGCCTGGCAAACACAAGGTCCCAAGTTCGATCCCTGGTACCATAAATTAATAATAATAATAATAATAATAATTTAAACATTCATCCATTCAGCATATATTTGGATTACATATTGTGTATGCCAAAATTATGGTGACCATAGAGCTTGAAGGACTTGCCCTGAGGTCCAGCTGCTGAGACCTAGGGAAAAATTCCTGTGGGGCCCAGCTCAGCCTCCGAGAGGCAGGTAGGACTGGACAGCCCAGGCAGAGGGAACAAGGCCCAAACCTGGTCCCAGAGTCACCTGCCCCCACTCCCAACCCCTGACCTTGTCTAGGCTTAAGTTCCCCTGACAACAGTAGGCCAGACTTTGCTCTCCCTGAAGTTGACTACACCTTCTCAGCCTCTGCCTTGAATCCACGAGGCAAATGCATGTCCCCAAGCCACTACAAACATCCACAGATCTTCAAGACCCTGAGATTCCACCTGACCCTCCTCCTCCCTCCACCAATTCTGACCCAGGACCTGAGGCCAAGTCTCATGCTCGAAGTCACACACTAGGATGAGGACACTATGCTGCAAGACCTGGCTCCCCCTCAGTGCATATCCGGGTATCGCCTGGCCCTTCCTGACCTCCCTGGCCACCAGAACTCTCCAGCTCCACAGAGCCTTTTGTTCAAGAATGTCTGGTGCTCTGGTCTCACTCCACGGGGAGAAGCTGCAGTTTTTGGGTCCCCCCGGCCGTTCACGCACCAACTCTGCTACATGAGCCTCTCTGAATCTCAGTTTCCCTGAGCTGTGAAATGGAACTAACACAAACCTGCTGCGTGGCACTAGGACTTAAGGAGGACACAGAAGTCATCTCCTGGGCTCACATGTGACGATCAAGACTGGCTACTCGACACCGTCAGATGGACACGGGTGGGGGGCCCGGAACCATACTAGGGCCCTGCGTGGGGAGCAGGCAGTGGATGACGTGGAGAGCTACCTAATCTTCAGCTCCTTTCTGGGGACGCTCATCCCATTCGCACGGGGTCTCCCAGCCCAGCCCAACCCGATCCAGGACCCATAGTGGCCTGCAAGCGGCAGAGCTCAGGCCCATCGGCACGCACCCGCAGAGCCCATCTCCCCAGGGGATCCCACGCTGGCCCCAGAGGGCAACCCAATGGGTCCCAGGGCCCCGTGCGCCCTCCTGTGCGCCCTCCTTGCCTGGCCTACCTCGAGGTCGGCACTGGCCTGGCTCAGCGACTTGGGGGAGCAGGCCTTGTGCTCCACCAGGCAGATGTGGCAGATGCACTCGCTGTGCTCGGGGCAGAAGAACTCCCGCAGGCGGTTGTGCTGCGAGCATTTGCGGCGCTGCAGGTCACGGACCGGGGCCTGCAGCCGGTGGTCCAGGAAGGCCGGGCTCTCCAGGTGCGGCTTCACGTGCTCCTGGCAGAAGGAGGCCATGCACACCAGGCAGGTCTTCACCGCGGCCTCCTTCAGGCAGTGGTCGCAGGACACCTGTGCGGCCGGGCTCGGGGCCGGGGAGCCGGCAGGCGGCGTCCAGTCGTCGGTGGACGCCTGTGCCTGCTCGGCCTGCTGGAACTGCCCCACCACCGCGCACAGCACCGTGTTCTTGTGCAGCAGCGGGCGCGTGGTGTAGACGGTGCGACACTGGGGACACTGGTACGGCGCGCCCTGGACGGCCCAGGTCTCGTCCAGGCACGACATGCAGAAGTTGTGGCCGCACGGGGTGGTGACCGGCTCCTTGAAGAGCTCCAGGCAGATGCAGCACGACAGCTCCTCGGCTAGCGGGCACAGCTCGGCCATGGCGCCGGCGGGGATCCGACGGGACGTGCGAGCAGCGGCAGAGGGACAGCGACTCAACCTCCCCGGCCAGCGCGCGGAAACGAAACTCAGCGGGCGGGCGGGCGGGGCCCGGAGATCAGGAAGTCACGTGGGCGGGGTGTGAGGACGGGGGTCCCCCTGTCGCCCGCTAGCTGGCGCTCGGGGAGCGGGCGGAGACCTGCACGCCCAGAGGTCGGGGTGTGGCTGAGGCGGGCGGGGCGCTTCGCTCCGGGGACTCGGGCTTCCCATCCACATCCCCTTGCTTTTCTGTGGCCTCTGTGGGGACCACACTGGGTGAAGCCGGGACTGGTCTCTGCACCAAGGGGCAGCCTGTCTCCCGCGTCCACCTGCGCACCCCAGTCGGCCCCGCGGGGTCCTGGCCGGGGAGGCTGGGCCGGGGGAGCTTGTAAAGAAGTAGTTGTACACGGGATTACTCAGCCTGGTGTCAGCAATCGAACTCGGGACTTTGCGCTTGCCAGGCAGGCGCTGTTCCTCTGAGCTGTCTCCCCGGCCCCAGACCGTGATTTTAAGTGAGGCAAAACAGACACATGAGCTTAAATGGAGCATGGTTTCTCTTATTACAAGAAACTCACAATATAAAGGGCAAATGGAAAGGTAGATAATAGAAAAGAGGAAGCTTTTTCTTAAAGGGGAAATGGACCAAGGGATGGACAGGGAGAAAGAGGAGGGGAAGGAAGTGGAAAAAAGAAAAACAAAACAAAACACCGCCCCTCCCCAAATGGGCAGTGAACCCAGAACCTTCGCTGCAGCTACACCCCTTTTTTTTACACCCTTTTTTCTTCCCCACACTTCCTCTTTCTTTTTCTCTTCCTCTCTCCATTCTCTCCTTTCTTGCTTGCTTTCTTTCCCCTTTCCTCTTTTCTTTCTTTCTCCTAAAAGTCGCTAAATTGTCTAGGCTGGGCTCAAATTTAAGATCCTCCATCCTCAGCCTCCCAGAGCACCCAGATTACGAGTGTAATCCACATGCTAGGTTTAGAACATTACTGTTTTGCTGGAATTTGGGGTCACCCAAAATGAACAAATGTTTGCTTTCTCTGAGACGCAATACTGGAACTTAAAACTTTTTTTTTCCCTCAAAATTGTTTAGGTTTATAGGGCTGGGGAGATGGCTCAGTAGAATAAGCACTTGCCTGGCAAGCACAAGTGCCTGAGTTCAATCCCCGGTTCAGAAAAAGAAGAAATTGTTTAGGCTTATATCTTTTACTTTTTTTTGTTTTTTTTTTTTAAGTTCCATTTTCCACCTCTGTGGTAGGCACAGAGAGAAAGCCTTTGGGGAAGGTTACTTGTGATTCGGTAGAAAGAACAGGGGGTGTATGTCCTAGATTATGAGGACAGCTTCTGCTCCCAGGGCACCCACTGTGTGCTAGTCAAAGCATTCATATTGTTTCTTACTGTCCCTATAATCTCGGCAAGACTGTCATTGTGTCTATGTGACGTTTGAGATCTTACAACTTTCATGAGCAGGACAGGAATTCTGCTCCAGACTTTGGAACTCTGGCATCCTAACTCCTGGTCACCTGGGTCTTGTCGCAAGGGCCCCTCTTTTCCCCCGAGATACTTTGCCTCACTTGGTTATGCCTTGAGGTGCTTCCTGTGTGGAGAGGGGGAGACAGAGGCCAAAGGAGGGCTGGGAATCAGGACTGATGCGTAGTATCTCATTTAATCTTCACATGAAGCCCTTGAGGTAGGTAAAATTATCCCATTTACAGAAGAGAGAACTGAGGCCCAGGGAAAAAGCCCTTGAGGTAGGTAAAATTATCCCATTTACAGAAGAGAGAACTGAGGCCCAGGGAAACCAAAGAACTTGCCTACAACACTCGCTACTGGCACACAGCCTATCTGCTGCAGAAACCAAACATTGCCCGCCATAAAATGCTGCCTGCCTCCCAAGGGAGGAATAGGAGCTGTTTCCAGGAAATAAATACTTATGAAATCCACCTCTAACCTAGTTAGGCACCAATGGGGTGGCTTGGTGACTCACCCTAGAATGTGGAATTCTCTTTCCAGGCAATGGGGTTGAGAAAGGCTCATTAGACACAGAAGAGACTAGGAGGCCAAGGTTGTTGTTCACCACATTCCATGGGGGTAGATGTTTACTAAAGCCTATCATGTAACAGGCTGAGTGCTTAAGAAAGAAGTGCAGGCCAGAGACGGACCCTCCTCCCCTGCCCCTCCCTCTCCTCCTCTTCTTCCTCCATTTTTTTGACACAGGGTCTCGCTGTGTAGCCCACGATGATACTCCTGCCTCAGCCTCCTGAGCGCTGGGATTATAGGCTAGCATGCCTCAGTTTGGACTCACCTTCTAAGACAAGGAGAAGGCCAGAGGACAGCAGAGAAAGACAGTGTGGTGACAGTCACCCTTTGCTGGGGACACAGACTGCTCATCTACAAAGCAGGGAGCTCGGTAACATCTTCCTGTTGTCATGGTTGGGACTTTGTGAAAATAAAACAGGGCCGGGAGTGTAGCTGATCCCAACAGTGCCTGCCTGGCAACCTCCAGGCCGAGAGTTCGATTCCCGGTACCCAAAATAAAACACACCAAAGCACCTTTAAGCCACGCTGATGTCGGTGGGTTGGGGCAGCAAAATGTGAAGCCCTACTATGTAAGTCAGCTTCAAGCTTGTGCGGGCACAGGGACACTCCCTGGGCTGGAGGGTGTGGTTCATTATTATCAGTAACTTCAGTAGCACAGTGTCCTGAAGTCAGATGTGACCCAGTTGGTCACAGTGGAACTGCATGGCCCCATCCAGCAGCTGGCTGACAACCCTGTCTGGAGGCTGAAAAACTAGGTGGAGTAATAAGCCTTATTTGCCTGCAAATATGTTTTGCCCGGTTGCCCAACGTGGCCATCCCGCAGGCGTGCAGCTGCCCCACCCCTCTGCTGCAATGGAGGACAGGCTGGGGGTGCGGCCCAGGCAGCTTAGGTCTCAAGGTCATGGTGCCTCGGCGAATAACCACTGAGAACAGCTTCTTCCTTTTCTTTCTTTGTCTTTTTTTTTTTTGGTGGAACCGGGGATTGAACTCAGACCCTTGAGCTTGCCAGGGAAGCACTTATTCTACTGAGCCATCTCCCTGGCCCATGCTTCTTCCTTTTCTGAAAGAGCCTGTGTACAGTTGGTATTCTTTCTTCAAGCGGAATGAACTAGGAATGAGCTTTCTTGGCCTGGAAATTTCTTCGTGACAAGGTTTTAAATCACTAATTTGCCAGATGTGGTGACACATGCCCAGCACTCGGGAGGCTGAGGCAGGAGGCTGGCATTGAGCATGAGGCCAGCCAAAGCTATCCTGTGAGTTCAAGGCCAACCTGAACTACACGGTGAGACCCTGTCTCAAAAAAAAAAAAAAAAAAAAAGTTACTGATTCAGTTTCTTTAAGTGGTATGATAACATTCAGAATTTTAATTTCTTCTCCTATCAGTTTTTGGTAACGTCTTTTTCAAGAAATGTGTCCATTTTCTGTAATGCATTTATCACCATCAGGTTGCTGGTAATCTCACCGTATTATCATCTTGTCCTTTTTTCAAAATGTATTTGGTACAGGGTCTACGGGGTCTCCGGGGTCTCCGGGGTCTCCGGGGTCTACAGGGTCTACGGGGTCTACAGGCTCTACGGGGTCTACGGGGTCTATGGGGTCTCCGGGGTCTATGGGGTCTACAGGGTCTACGGGGTCTACGGGGTCTACGGGGTCTATGGGCTCTACGGGGTCTCCAGGGTCTACGGGGTCTATGGGGTCTATGGGCTCTACGGGGTCTCCAGGGTCTACGGGGTCTATGGGGTCTATGGGGTCTACAGGCTCTCACTATACAGTGATTTGTAGCGATTCTCCTGTTTTCAGCCTCCGAAGCACTGGGATTATAGGCGCATGCCACCAAGCCCAGTCTCAGTCCCTGTCTTAGTCCGCCCCAGGGGCAGGGTTGGCACAGCACACCAGGGATCGAACCCTGACCACTGTGCTCTGCCTAAACAGGTGCTTTAATCTGCTGAGCTATCTGGCCAGCCTGTCATTTATTTTTTTACTGAGAAATAATTCATATCTTACACAGTCTACACTTGTAAATATAAAACTTACTACTGTGTTGTAGAATATCCAAAGGGTTAGATGGCACCATCACTGCCTAATTGCAGAATATTTTTAGTTCCTTGAAGAAAACTCCCTACTGCCCAGTCGCCACTCTTGCTGTGTCCCTGCCCCAGTGGTGACAAATCGACTTTTTCTTTGGATGGCTTTGATGATTCTGGACCCTTCATGTAAATGGAAGCAAACAATTATTCCATGTATTCCTTTTTTTTTTTTTTTTTTTTTTTGTGGTACTGGTATTCAAGCCCAGGACCTTGTGTGTGCTAAGCGAGCACTTTGACATTGAGCTACATCCCCAGCAATGTGTTCTTTTTGTCTGACTTCTCCCCCAAAGCTTATTTTCAGGGTTCCTCCAGAATTAATATCTACCAGTACCGCACTTTGACTCTCACAGGGCCCCGTACTATTCCACTGTGGTTGGACGTTTTGCTAATCTAGGCTTCAGTTGGTGGACATAATGTAAGTTGATTCTGTGCTTTATTTATCTTTCTTGAGCCTGATCTTTTTTTTTT